CTTATGAGGTAGCAGTTTAAGGAGCACTTGGGCTATTAAAAATTATGCTATAATTGAAAGTTATTACATTGTTATTATTGTAAAAATACATGGTAAATGCAATTTGATACAGTTGAATGGAACTGAGCAAATATTAGCAAAATTGGCAATTACAAAAAATTTCTGGAACGAAATAAAAGGAACTGGAAAATGTTTTTCGATTAACCGTTACACTAGCTTTAATCTCGTCATCACAGATTATACGCTTTAATACTAATCATTTTAAAACGTATCATATGTCCATTGTATCAGTCTTTATCTACATTATTATTTATATTGTAAGTATATTATCGTTATGGAAAGCACTTTTCATCGTTATGGAAAGTATAATTTTTAAACAGCGTCTACTCGTGCTCGACTAGAATGTCTGTTTTACTAAGCTTGGAAATAGCTCTGTCACACTAATCTCTAATGCCAGCTGTATTGTATTACGAAAGATCATTTCTCCCCCTTAAACTTGTCTGGATGTTTGGAATTTATTGAAATGAAATTATCCTCTAGGTAGAACGGACTTCAAATCTTTAACTAAGACCGTCGTGAATTATTTCTTGCTCAGTCTGAATACATTTGTCCCTTACATCCGCTTGTTCAAGCGGATAAGATAACTTTCTTACCTGTTCAATTACTATGCACGCTATATACCAATTCTCAAAGGCTGAAACTTTTTTGCTTCTTAATAATCAAGTCCCTTTATCTAATTGCGGTATTATCCTTACGTTCATTGATTCACAGGAGGATCTGCTACTATGAGGTTCTATTGTTAGAGCTGCATTGGTAATTAAACAATTTTAAATGTACATGAGTTAATGGCTTGTGGAGAGAGTAATGATTGTATGTTTACGTCTTTTTCCTGTATAACGATTTCGATGATGGGCAAATGGGCATTCCGCGAACTATTCTAAGCAAATCAATATTTCACCTTTAAACGTTGGAATAGAGCATTTCAGCCATATCTTTCTGCTGCTTTCTGAAACCTTGAAATCGAAATTTTCCAATCCTTTAAATCACTCATACATTGCGATTGTCTAACAAGCCAAGTCGTTGAATGGTAAGCAAATTTTCACAGAACGGCTTCTTTCTAGTGATTGACAATATTTGGGGGTCAAGTTCTTGCAAATCTTGCCCTTGACTTCGTATTTATCGCTTTTTCCCTTAAACGGCGCTAAACCGTTGAAACAATAATGGCCATTGGTTTCTTCTGTTAGCTCTAAGGTATCTAAGCACACTTTTATTGTGTGATATGGCACTGCTTTCAAACGTAATTTTTAACTGTTTTGATGGAAACCCAAATTCTGCTGTTATCTCTTTCATCCAACAGCAAACTTTATTAATAATCTTTTGACATTCTTTTCTGTTCCATCGCACGCACTTTTATTAGCATCTTCATCTTCCATCGCCGCTTCTCCTTTCGGGTAGCGGG